AATGCCCACGGCATCCAAGTATCCTTCCCTTGTAAGACGCGCAAACACCGCGAATGATTCACTCACGCTGAAGTTCGCCTCCGAAAGTGGACTTTAAACTCGTAGTAGCAAGGACCCGATAACGGACGATTTGTTTCATGCTGCATGCTTTCGCGCAAGGACCCGATAGTCTTGCGATTGTGAATTTTTGTTTGAAGTTTAAATGTTATAACTCGTCATTTTGATACTAAATTTATGTTTAACAGCAATTTAGATTAACAGACAAATAAATTATTACAGAATTGAGAACAACTGGACATAAACATCACACGCAGAGATGCCCATAAAAAATATGCAGAACCAAAAGCCTTCGATTTAGTACCAAAATTGGGAGCGCAAAAACAGATAAATTAAACATGGCTGGGATTACTACCAGAAGTTTCGGAATTTCCCGCAAATCCTAAATACACGATAAAAACAACAAACTTCTTTAGACTGCGAGCAGCAAGAGCGTTATTCTTCCGCTAGATCAAGCCGTGAGTTTCTTCCCTTTTAACATCCCTACCTACAGTTTCAAATATAGAAACTAGGTGGTCCTTTTCAGAGGCTGCTGAATTTGCCAGAATGGTGCCGGCATACAATTTCTCTTCTTCATCGGTCTCCAGATTGTCTCGTCCCTCCCACTTCCTAATCTGCGCATTTGGCCCTTTCGTTACATACTCGATGAGCGGGATGGCCCCGGAAGAATGTTGGGTAAGGCGCACGACACCGCTTTCACCATCGTTTCGGCATCCGCATCTGCTAAGATTAAAAAGCTCCAGGAGCTTTTTGCCTTGGACGACATAGAATCTGTCCAGCAAAGCTGGATCAGTATCTTGCAGTTCAACCGCCGTTTCACTGTCAGATTCCGACTGCATCTTACTAGGAGTGAAGCAAGAGCAGCTCTGCAATATGTACTTTTTTTAGGGAAGTTATTTTAAAATAATTAATCTCGGCTTTGTGCCTTTTTCCTAACCGTTCTTCCCGATGAACCAGGGTCGGTGTGTTTGACTGATGGTGTGTTGAAGATCGTTTTGGAGGTAGATGCTGCGACACTCTCAGTGGGGTATTCCAGCAGTGCTTCCGCTGCAAATCCACCGTCTTCGAAGTCCATCCCACCACTAAGCTCTTCCGCATAAGATAAACCTTCTTTCATCACCGCCTGAACATACATGGATGCGGTAGCATTAAATAGAAGTAGACAACCT